AAACGAAAAAAAAAAGAAACGAAAAAAAAGAAAAATAAAACGAAAAAAAAAAAGTTGAAAACGAAAAAAAAAAATCGGGAATAAAACGGGAAAAAAAAGGGGCCACGTGCCTAACTGAAGTGCTAGAAAAAGGTCCGCCCGAGTTTCAACTGAATTTGAAACTCGGGCCGTGACGTAACTGCTAAAACGCGGTTTACAATGCAATTACAAACTGTAGCCCTCACTGCGCCGTAGTTTTATTTATATGTGTTTTTAATTTTTTTTCATTACGGGTCACAATTTTCATGTCGGGGAGGTTTTTTTTTTTTTTTTGGCTGGTGACTGGTGGTTCTGTTTTTGTAGAATGGTGGAGGTCATTGGAGGGTACCCGCCCATATTTGTTTTATTTTGTTTTCACGAATATTTTTTTATTTGGTGACGGTGGCGGGGTCAGCTGTTGAAGGGGGCGGGGGGGGGAAGGGAAACAGCGCTGTCACTGTTTGTCCCGTCACGGTGAATGGCCATTCGCGGGTACAGGGCCCCCTGCAGAAAGGCAATAAAGGCCACCCGGTGTCAGATTAGATGCGAGATTGAATTTACCTGGGCTTGTTAGCCCGATGATAATACCTCAAGGCGGCCCTGTTCAAAAATAAATAAATAAAAATAAATATAATAAATAAATAAATAAATAATGAAAAAAATATATATAGCTTTGGAATTTCAGAGGGGTGTTGCCATCTTCCCACATCGTTTTGGCCATCGTATTTTACTATGATTTTAGCGTATACGAGAGGTTTCAGCCTTTCAGGGGTACAAATTTTCCAGGTCCTAAAAATAAAATACAGGTCCTAAGAATAGAAGACGGGAAAAAAAATTCAGGAACGTATATTGCGTGCTGAACTTTTTTGCGGAAAACGAAAATATATTCCCGGCGGTGAATTCCATTTACTCTTCGTGCCGGGCGCTCGAGCACAAGCGGGTACAAAGACTAAGTGTCTGTCCGTTAAAAAAGCGTTGAGAAACAGCAACCCCATGAGATCGAGAACCAGCGAGCGCAAACAGAAGAAAGAAAGGCGCATATCAATTGGTGGGAAGAGCAAAGCATACACTCCAAGGGAACCAACAACTGGCGCTACACACAGACGCACTCCAATCATGACAGTTCGTGGGGGGACACGCAAACATGTCGATACAGGAGAACAATGCACCTATTTCAAGAAGGCTAGCACATACAGGAATTCATTGGAAAAGACGATTCTTCTGTACGAGAAAAGATCGTTTTCACGCTAATATCGCACTTCGTGCCTCCACGGTCGAGATACTCCTGTGGGTGTCGACTCGCACTCTGAAGATGTGCGTCACACACGAACACATGGAGCAGCGAAAGAGCAAGCCAGCAAGCGAACAAAAGCGAACACACACACGCACAGAGAGAGAGAGAGAGAGAGAGAGAGAGAGAGAGAGAGAGAGAGAGAGAGAGAGAGAGAGAGCACTAAGTACTAAGTAGTTTACCTTGTTGTTCGCTACGGCCGTCTACTTCATCTTTACGCAACAGTTCTTGCGCTCGGCTTGGGGTCTTCCCCAGCACCGGAAGTCGTAGATGCCAGCGTATTCTTTTCCAGGTTTAGAAATTACATGACGTGGAAACTGGGTAGGCTTCCTATTGAGCTCCATCAGCAAAGTGATGTTGTACACACACACGTCCGATCGCCTGCGTCGGTGATGTCGCCAGTTGTTAGCTGACCACGCTCAGTGACGCGCGCCGGACAATACCATGCAGCTGCGGACGGATAGATTAATCCACTAATCTCCAAGCTGAGCCCCTCCCGGTCGCTCATTCTGCTTCTCTCCAAGTAGCTGGCTGATGTCGAACGACCCCCCCCCCCTGTTGTTGACGCCTGGTTAAATCAGCTTAGGCCATGCTCACATTACGACTTTCTGATCTCGCTGCATTTGCCGCCAGATGCTCCAGAAACGCTTTTATACGAGTATGCCCTTAGCAATTCTCCCAAAGCAGAGTATAACCCGCACTGGTGACGGTGATCGAGCCCTTGTTGTTCTCATTCGGCCAGGATGGAGGCAGTACTGTTGCCTCGAAATTGATAGAGAGCGTCACCGACCGACTGCCACACGGTGCATAGACAAAGGTTGCGAAGAATGTCGCCTTCGACGGGAGGAGGCAAGCTGCGCGAGGATCTGGCTGTCCCTCGTGTACTCGAGAAGTAGTACGAGGCTGCCAGTGAACCCGTGACGCCTTCCTCCAACTGGGCGGACACTCGGAATGTCGCAGTCCCTAGAGCAAACGTGGACCCATTAGGATATCTCAGGTCGACGGACACTTGGCAGTTTTTCAGCCGGTCAGCTGGACCTCCTGGGGTGAACACCGTGAACGTCTTGAAACCATAACTGGGAATTCTGTCAGGGGAGATATCGAGCTCGAGACTTCCAGGCGGACAGCCAGTGCCAGCAGATTCGACATTGTCGGTCTCTAGCGTACCAGGTGGCGGACTTTGAGCAAGTCCAGAAACGGCAAGCTGGAGAAGCCCCAGCAGCAGCATGACCACCATCGCCGCCATCGTAGACACGGACTGGAAAACCGTGTGCCTGATCCTCTTCGTCTTCGCCTTTCGTCTCACCTTGCTCCTGTCTCCGCGCGCCCAGCGACAGATGAGCTGTTAGCCTGTTACGACGATGGCAGCAGATAACGCCCTCCCCAATTCGCCGCTCCCGGCTGTTCGCCTGGAGTCGCCCCTTGAGCTCCCTCTCCTCGGCTGAAATGCCGTGGAAGAAGAGAGAGCCGACGCCACTTCTCGGAGCTCCATCCTGCGATCCCCAAAGACCGCCCACGATCAGTAAGCAGATCGCAGCGCACTGTACGCAGAGTGCCCGTTCATGCGCCTTTATACAGAGCCGGAGGTGAAGTCTGCCTGTGTCCCCCCAGCACAGCGCATCAACATCACAAAAAAAGCGGTCGAGGAGGAAAGCAGCTCACAGGCGTACCCTCTGGCAGTGTGGAGAGGACATGCGGATCAAATAAATTAAGTGGAAGATAAAGCTATAAAGCTGCAAGGAAACCTCTATTTTTGCGAAGGAAACTTCGAACGGACGACATTTTTGCTGCCGAACTTCGAAAATCAAACAGCAATATTTTTGAAATTAACCCCATGCGGATCAAATAAATTAACCGGAAGATAAACTGGAAAGCCGGCCGAACGCCACGCGTCCAGTGTCCAAACGAGAGAAAGAAGGTTGCACCTCGCTCCACTACTCTCGACATGCACGAGAGACAAAAATCATGGCGGTCTATCGCTCCAAGTTGTAGCGGAAGATTCACTCTTGTTTTGCGCATTTCGAGAGTGCGGTCTTCCCCCGAACACAACGAACCCTCATTTTGGCTGTAACTGGCCGGAAATACAGCTTGTATATATTCGTTTTTAGGGTGTGTTATGTTCGGGAAAATTCGCCAGTGGAATGGAGACCCTTTGGAACGCCATCTTATAGTTTTTCCATCCACTTGCAGATCATGCACCTGCCCTTTTTTGTCTCGCAGTAGGAAAAATACTCCTTCGCGGCAGGGAACATACTTCTCCTCAAAGCGACAAGCACGTGAGAAGATCCGGTCCAACCGTTTTTCCATCCACTTGGAGATCATGCACCTGCCCTTTATGATGGAAGCAGGGATGCCACTCCTTCGCGGCAGGCAACATACTTCTCCTCAAAGCGACAAGCACGTGAGACGTTTTTTTTTTTTTTTTTTTTCATTTTCGTTTTCAATATATTTTCGAAATGCCCCTTTGAAATCCGTTTATTCCGGCATGCCCCTCCGACGGCCTACTAACCCTGTCGTTCTCCTCTGCGATGATCCGGCGTCGGTTGGACATGAAATTTGTTCAAAATGCCCCTACTGCCACTGGGACCGGTTCCGACCGGATTGCCGTTGAGTACAAGGCGAAAAAAATCCATATGACCCAAAAGCCCAGTGGGTACACCCATGAATTGTTGAAATACAGACCTGCGTTCGAATCCAGATGATGGAAACTTGACAATTGAAACCAACTACTAATAAATTGCTTGGGGTCAGTCAGCTCAATGATAATATCTCAAGACCGTCGCCCTTTAAAAAAAAAAAAAAAAAAAAAAAAAGATCCATATGCCCACGCTACCTTGCAACTGTCCAGTATGCGCTTGTGCCCGTACATCTTTCCAGTATGCCACCTGCGACCGTTGGTCGCACTCACGGCTGTCCCTTGGCCCTGGGAGGACGATTACAAGGGCATATCGGAAGTTTGTCATACAGCCCAACATTCTGCCGTGCCCTCAATTCGATGGAAATCTGTGTGTGTGTGTGTGTGTGTGTGTGTGTGTGTGTGTGTGTGTGTGTGTGTGTTGTGTGTGAGAGAGAGAGAGAGAGACATTCATTCTATTTTGCTCATCCTATGGACTACACATAAACATACACATCCGATAAGCCCTACTGGGCCCTCATTTCAGTACAATCGGCCGTGAAGGGCCGTCCTAAGTAAAGGCAGGCTGACCAATGCCTATTTTAGGGTGTCCACTCTACTGGGGAAATTCAGGCAGTTGCGCAACTCAAGTTGGTTGAAAGTGCCCAGGCCCTGGGTGAAATACGCAACAAGGACCCAACACAGGCTGCGGGCAGTTGGGCACGGGTAACTGTCACAGGCCCTGGGCCTGGTTCGTTCAGACTGGGGCTCAGCCTCCCGGGGCCTACCGGAAGTTTCTGGGCCGGGGCCCGGTGCAGCCGGGTCGCAGGAAGCAGGCAGGCCACTTCAATTTAGGAAAGTGTCCTAAATGCTGGTAAAGGCTGGTGGCCACTTCCATTTAGGAAAGTGTCCGAAATGCTGGTAAAGGCCACTTCCATTCAGCAAGCATGAGCCCGCCCTAAGTGAAAGCGGTCCCCCTGAATTTTAATATGGCCTGAATTCGTCAAATTTGGTAAAGGCTGGTGGGCGCCAGACAGCTGCCATGCGCCAGTTGGTTACATCCTCCATACTCGTGAGAATCAGATAATAATTCCTGAGCCTTCTAGGCTCTTCCAGCAGCACAGACGAAGCAGGGAGAACCTCACGTCTACTCCTGGGTGGTTGGGCAGGCTCAGCCAATTCGGAACCAGGCCACTGTCTGAATGGGCCTGGGCGCGTACACTCTGGCCTGATTGGAAGCTGCTGGAAATACACGAGGCCCAGCCAGGGAGCAGACTGGTCGAGCACTTTCCATAAAGGAAAGAGCTCGCCACTGGTGGAGGCATTCGGGCACTAGGCAGTGCATGCGGCAGTGCTGCTTGCGCGCGCGCTCGCGGGCTGTGCGCTGTGCACTAGCGCTAGTTGCCAGGCAGTGCGCACAGGCACTGGAAGAAGGCAGGGTGCTGCTGAGGGCAGCGCCATAGCCAGCCCTATATAGCGAGGGTTTGGCTTGGACAGCCAGTGGAGGTGGTGGTGGTCTTGAAGTCCGAGCAAAGGGACAAGACGTGGGAGGAAGACAAGGAAGGGAGAGAGTGAAAGAGATGAGGATGATGATGTGAGGGCTCATACCTGGTATTGGCGGTGGTCTGCATCTTCAAGTACTTCGGTGGCTGCTGACGTCAACAGTTGCATTGTCAATTGGTAGGCAGAAAGTAGCTGTGTAGGGAGTACCCTGGGCGCTGAGTGCCAAGTAGGGAGAGAGAGGTCCTGGATACATATCTTGATTGGATTCTCCATTGGTGACATATTGGTGCAATGCTGCTTTCTGGACACTGTGAGACTTTCTTGCTTTCAATGTCATTGTGCTATCTGGATTCTGTCATCTCGCTATCTCTCATTTTTCTTGCAACACGAAAAAAAAACGAAAAAAAACGGAAAAAAAAAGGGAAGAAAAACGGAAAAAAAAATGAAAAGGAAAACGAAAAAAGAAACAAATAAAAAAAAACGAAAAAAACAGCAAAAAAAATAAACGAAAAATAGAACAGAAAAAAAAAACGGAAAAAAAAAAAAGAAAAAAAAAGGAAAAACAAAGCGAAAAAAAAACGAGAAAAAAAGGAAAAATAAGCAAAAAAAAGCAAAAAAAACAATGGTTCAGTTTGGGGGCCGCGCGAAACGTGCGTTAACGGTGAAACGGCGACAGCGGCAGTGGTGGCGCCCGGTTGTCGGTTGCAGCTCCAGCGGGCCTCCATCTGCCCTGGCCTACAGCCAGGGCCTATTTGGCTATTTGCCAGTTTTGCCGGTGGGACCAGGCCGTGGCCTTACCCCACAGGCCGTGCACTGTTTCAGTTCAGTCCCGTCCTGCCCGGTACAACGGTCGATACCACGTCAGTCCAGTCCATTCAGTCAGTCCGCAGGGGGTATACCCCAGCTGTTCTCTGTTTTTCATCATTCTTCATTTGCACAGTTTGGAGTACGTGCGTGTTCAGTCTGCGTTGGAGTTGCGCTGTCCCTTCTAGCTCCATCTTCATCTCGCTGTCCCTTCTAGCTCCATCTTCATCTCGCTGTCCCTTCTAGCTCCATCTTCATCTCGCTGTCCCTTCTAGCTCCATCTTCATCTCCCCCATCCTCATCCATTCGTCTTGATCTTGACGGACTGCCATCCCGGAGGATCCGTCACACTGGTATCAGAGCGGGCTTTTCTCCCTGCTCCCCTCCCCCACTCACCTCGTCCATCAGTTGCCATGCGGCTTGAGCAAAAAAAAAAAAAAAAAACTTGCCACTTTTCTTTGGTAATGCTACCAGTGCACTCTTTCAATCGTAACTCTTGCACTAGTGGACCAAAGTTTTTTTTTCTTTAGCTTGTTGGAAAGCTCTCGACGAGCCACTTCCATCAAGCTATAACATGTGGACTTTTGTGCGTTGGTTGAGGAACTACGATCTTTCAAAGATCGCGATTTGTTTTTGAAGCTCCCAAAACCACCCGCGCTCGTTTTTTCAATGAGCGCTATCTCTGTAGGCAGTATCTGATGTTGCGCCTTATCTTGTTGGAAGCGGCTTTCAAAAATCTTTCCAACAAGTCCTCTTTTGCCAAATTTCACCCAGGGGGTGAAACGTTATTGGCAAAAGAGTGGTTGCCGCTCTCTCTCCTTTCTTCCTCCCCATGGCCATTGAAGTGTCACGTGGCGGCACTTGGCAGCAGTGAAGACCCCCCTGGCTAGGGGGCTGCGCGTCAGTGTAATCAGGGTGGCTGATCAAGATCTCAGTCAACCCTTGATTATCTCATTATTATTATTTTTTGTTGTCTACTGCAGCAGCAGGCTGTCAGCACTTTTAAGGCCAAGATCCTGTGGATCTTGGTGACCTTGTTGCTCTTGGCGACCTTGTTGCTCTTGGCCAACCAAGAGTCTGGTATCATCTCTCCCCACTAACCTCCTCTCCCAACCCCACCCCCCCTCTCGCTCTCCTATACACCATCTCATCACCTTTTCTAACCCTACCACTATCCCCTTTCTCCTACCTCCCTCTTCACTCATCTTTCACAACATTTTTCTTTCCTCTTCTCCCCACTCACCATCTTCTACTAATCTCATCTACTCCTCTCTACCTTTTCCATATCGGATTCCTTCTCTTCCATTCTATCACTCTCCTCTCCCCCTTCCCTCCCCCAACTGCAACCCCATCATCTCCCCCATCTCCCGCATTACTTTTTATTTCTCTTTTCACTTATTTCTCTCCTTCTTCATCACTTTTTCATCTCCCCCCGACCCAACTTCGAATTTTTTTATTTTTTCTTCTTTTCTCTTTCTCTTCGAGTTAAATTTTCTCTTTTCCTCCAAAAATCCGAATTATCTTATTCCCTATTTCTTTTATCATTTTTTTGATTTATTTTTATTTTTATTTTATTTATTCTAAAAATTTG